ATACAGAAGAAACTAACACAACTCTGTAAATCAACTATACTTCTACAAAAAATTTTTTTAAATAAATCAATAGTCTTCATCTTTGTTTTCAGCACTTGGAAAGTACTGTGCCACTTCCTTCTGGCCGCCATGGCTTCTGATGAGTTATCTGCCGTCATTATAATCTTTTTTCCTCCTTTGACCGCTTTCAAGATGTTTTCCTTGTCTTTAGTTTTTGGAGTTTGGGTTTCTTTGGGTTTATCCTGTTTGTGATGCTCTTGGATTCGGGAATCCTCAGGTTTATGTGTGTTGCCAGATTTGGACAGTTTTCAGGCATTATTCCTGCTATTCCTTTTCAGCCCCACCCTCTCTCCTCTCCTTCCAAGACCCCAATGACACGATGTTAGATCTTTTATCCACAGGTCCCTGCGGCTCTGTTCATTTTCATTCTGTTTTCTCTCCGTATTTCAGATCGGATGAGCTGATGGTTCTATCTTCCAGTTCCTGGCTTCCTTCCTCTCTCTCCTCCATTCCCTCACTGAGTCCATCCACCAAGTCTTTTATTTGGGTTGTATTATTTCAGCTCAGAAATTTCCACGAGGTCTTCTTTTGATCTATTTTTCTGAGCCTCTCTATTTTTTCTCATTGGTTTAGTGCGACGGTTACTGCTCACGGAAGCTTTCTTGCGATGGCGGCTTTGAAGCCTTGGTCGGATAACGCTGCCATCTCTGCCATCTTGGTGCTGGTATCTATTCATTGCCTTTTTGGATTCAGTTTGAGATCTTCCTGGTTCTTGTACGATGAGTGATTTCTGATTGAAACCTGGACATTTTCACACTGCGTTATGAGACTCTGGGTCTTACTTAAACCTTGCATTTTGGCTGGTTCCCTCTGACATCAACTCGGCATGAGCTGAGGGGCCGGGCACGCACTGCCTCTCTTCTGGAAAACGCCCAAGTTTCCCACGTAGCCTCCCGTGGCCCCATGAATTGGGCAGGGTGGGGGCAGCTTGTTACCACCTGCCGGACATGAGAGCCCACCACCCTAGCAGGCCTTCTCCAACACCCCCTAGTGGGGGAGTTGGGGTGCCTCATTACCACCAGGCAGGGGGGAAGCCCTCGTTCCTGCAAGGCCTTCTGGGTGGGTGTGGGTCCAGTGTTTCCTGTGTGTTGGCTAGAGTACGGCAGTTAGTGTCTAAAAGGCTTCTGTCTTACTGTGCTACCTCTCTCCTGGTCCTCGGGTGAGAGAGTAGCCTTTTTTGTCTTGTTTTGTCCGTAGCCTTTGGCATTTCTAAATTTCTGGTTTCTTGAGCTCCAAGTCTGGGATACATGAGGCAAAAAGGAAACCCAGGGAGCTCACCACGAGGTCACCCTTTGGATCCCGAGGTCCCTGGGCAGTCTGCCCTCTTCTCTCCATCTTTCAGAGTCTTCTTATGCTTGTTTTATATATAATACCCCCAAGTTTTTAGCTGTAATTAGTGGGAAGAGGAGGGGAAAGTACTTCTGCTCCAGCTGCCCAGAAACAGGAGTCCCAGTGTGTTATTCTCCATCTCTAAACAGACTCGTAATGTATCAAAGTCAAAAGAGACAGGAGTCTCTGAAGAGTTGTTCCAAGGGCACATATAATTGACATCAGGAACCAGTATTTCCTCACCAGGCATACACCGGCCTATTTTTGGCTGCATTATAGGGCCCATGACAATGACATTTTTACACTGACTTTATCATTCAGAGTCAATACATCATTAAGACCATAAAACTGCAAACTTCGGCCGCTCCAAATTGTTCCCATTGCTTTCAACGACTTCATCCAGCAAAACTTAGCTTAAAAAGAAAATACTGCAGAGTAAAATGCTAGTCTGTGGAGAACGTAAAAATGAATACAACCCAAATGCTTCCCTCCAAGAGCTTGTAAGTCAGAGCAAAGACGAACCGGTAACAAAACAGATAAAAGGCAGAACACAGTAAGGCACACCAGGTCACGTGGTAGTACAGTCCGGAGCAAGCAGGAAGCTGGCGCTACCGTGACTGCTTCACAAAGTATGTGACCTTGGAAGATGGGACAAAATTCAAGTTGGGGATCGCTAGGAGAGGGGACGTCCCGGAGAGAGAGATGCCACAAGCAAAGGTGAAAACAGAGGCGGACAGGGCACGTGTGACAAATTCCAAATAGCACCTCTGGCTCAGCCCTGAGGCACCTGACTCCATAACAGGAGGACAAGAGGAAAGGGGCCGCGAGAGTCTGTCATCACAGTGATGAAGCCCTCATTCTAAGAATAAAAACTCCTTTAAACTCATGTATGTACACACGTGTACGTGTGTGTAAAATTTCTTTTTCACAAAGAGGGAAGTTCTGTGAAGTCTCAGCCAGGTGAGAGGGGTTCAATTAGGAATCATCAAGTTTCGATTTCTCCTGCGAACTTAAAGACGACGAAGCGTGGAATTATCGCCCAGAGACATTAACATGATCCAGCTATTAGTTCACAAATGTGGTGGACCTCAATTGGTTAAAGTCTCCCGAATCACACCACACTAGTGAGCCTGAAATACCTCCCCCCACCCACCCCCAGAATTCCCAGCACCTCCTCCAGGGAGACTCCGGGCGGACCTCCCAGCACGTGCAGCTGCGCCCTGGCAGCCTTCGTCCTCTGAGATCTCTCCGTACAATGGCTCTCTGTCCACCCTGCTGAGCCCAGACAGTAGATTTTCTTCCACCTACCCTAATACCCACATTCATATTCAGGTCACTGTTTCTGCTCAAGAAAGCAAAGGAATTCTACAAATGACGCCTTGACCCCAGAGGACGCCCATTCAAAATCTTCAGTAGTGCTAAAGATGTGACCCACCCACAAAGAGGTGGGCCTCCCACAAAGACATGGACCACCCACAAAGATGTGGACCACCCACAAAGATGCGGACCACGACAGAGACACTGACCCACCTACCAAGACATGGACCACCCACAAAGATGTGGACTACCCACAAAGATGTGGACCACCACAGAGACACTGACACACCTACCAAGACATGGACCACCCACAAAGATGTGGAACACCCACAAAGATGTGGACCACCCACAAAGATACTGACCCACCTACCAAGACTTGGACCACCCACAAAGATATGGACCACCTACAAAGATGTGGACCACCTACAAAGACACTGACCCACCTACCAAGACGTGGACTACCCACAAAGATATGGACCACCCACAAAGATATGGACCACCTACAAAGATGTGGACCACCTACAAAGACACTGACCCACCTACCAAGACGTGGACTACCCACAAAGATATGGACCACCCACAAAGATGTGGACCACCTACAACACAGGCTTTGCAGGCTTAGCTTCCAGATCCCAAACCTAATCTAAGATTTATTTCCAAGAACAGTTTTTCAGTAGGAGCCCAGGCTAATCTTAATCCAGGCCCCACCCTCCCCCAATCTAGCTCTGAGTGGACACCCAGGAGAAATCTGAGAGCTGCGTGTCAGAGTCTAACTGAACCAGGGGTCTCCTCAATCCCTAAATGCTAAACTCTTCGGGGAGTTTCTAAAACTACAGAAAGACTTTTAGAAAAGTACTTTCCTTTTTATGTGACCTAAACCAGGAGTCAGCAAACTATTTCTGCAAAGGGCCAGGGTGAATGTTTTTGTCTTTCTGTGCTCTATGGTCTCTGCTGCAGCCACTCAGCTCTGCTGCTGTAAAACACTGGGTGGGCGGGGCGCCAATAACACTACGTAGGGCAACGGTGAGGTCCAGGTCAGCCCCCAGATCTGCAGAAAGGGGAGGTCATCCGCTAGATGCCCCGTGTCACACCAATCCTGCTTGTCGGGATTAGGACCTCAAAACCCACTCAGCAGCTGCACTAATAAATTAAGAGAGCTAAAAGCCGAGTCCTCCACCACTGGCTCCGTGCACACGTTGCACGGGCTGCCCACCCATTTCTGTGCCAGTCTCGCAAGGCTAAACACGCAGCCCTCGCAGGCCGGTCCAAAGCGTCAAGGATCAGCAACTCTGCGTCCCCTGGCAAAGACGGCTCTTCTCCAGGCGGGTCCACAATGCTGCCGCCTCTTCCAACCTGAACGAACCCCACTTCCGACACAGCATCCCCACCATCCCCCGGATCTAGAAGCGGGGCAGGGGGCTGCGGCTTCCACGCAGAGCAGAAGGAGCGTGACCAGGGCTCGTGGTCCTCAGATGGACAGTCCATGTCTTCTGGCATCTTCACTCACGCCCCACCCCACGCCCCACAGATGCTCCCCCAGGACAGCACAGCCGTTCACAGGATGCAGGCTCTCGGTCCTGCACAGGAGGCCCAGACCTCCTAGCTAACTTCACGGCGTGAGCAATTACATTCCCCTCCCACAGAAACCACGATTTCACGACCCGGAACTGCAGCATCCTCTCCTGAGTTGCACTAAAGTTGTTCAAGGGAAAGATCTTAAATCAAGTGCTCTGAATCTCACCTCTCTTGGAGCCACTAAGTCTGTGGTCATTGGTTACGACAGCAGTAGGAAACTAAAACTGATACTGGGAGGGGGATGCTGCTGTAATGAATGCAGAAATGGCTTTGGAATTGGGCAACGCGCAGAGCCTGGGAGAATTCGAGAAACTTGGTGGAACCAGCTCCAGCCCCATCTACTGTCGCACTCCCTTGGAAGCAGTCCTGTGCCAGCTGACTAAGAGAACTACCTAAGAGCCCAGCAAATCTCTCCGCGCTCTGGCTCACGTACCGCTCCGCCGGCAGGCTTCGGGCAGCAGCTGTCATTTTTCTTATTCAACACCCTCCCACCCCACCCACGCCACGTGACCAAGAGCGGCGATCAAAACCGTGCATCCTCTAGCTGGTCCCCGTCCTTCTGCCCCAGCTACAAAAATTAAAACGAACGCAACTTAGAAGACAATGTGGAATATAAAGGAAGTTTAAGGGCAAGGCAAAAGGAGAAAAAAGAGAGAATCGCCTAAAAGTTAAACTTTTGCATTTCCAACAAGGATTACCTAAAAGGCAAAGATTCATACCTGCCTTTTCCCTCCAAGCTGCACATAACCCCACCGTCCTTGGGGAGCCAGGCACAGAGGTGGCCTGTGTCACTGCTGCCTCTGAGCCTCGGTCACCCTGAATGTGTGTACACAGGAGGTGAGCAATGTGAAGAAGGGGCCTGGGGCCCCCAGTGCCCACACTCAGGGTTCCGGGAAGAAGGCGGCAGCCCGCGCAGCCAGGAAGTGAGTCGCGGCCCCCGGGAGCCCAACAAGATACCGAGGACATCTCATCAGCCTTATTACAAAATTCTCTGGCAGTCGAGAATTCAGCTGCACCACGTCCTTGGCACCGAAGAAGAAAGTGGTTGATCGAAATTACACTGCTCCTTCATACCTTGGATGCCAAGACGCCTGCTGACACCAACAGTCAGCTCCTGTTCCAGAAACACCACGCCACGTGGTAAAGGTCAGCTTCCAACAGCAGCCACCAGAGGCCTCTGGGTTTGGGTCTCCCAGCTCCAACCCTGCATCACCCTCTTATAAACCAAGGACAGCAGTGAGGCCCAACCAGTCAACCAAAGGAGCCTCAGGACCAGCCTTGTACCAAACAGGCAGACGCATCGTGTTAACGTGGTCTGATTTCTACAGCCCTCGTTCCACCGCTACCAAATGCTTAGTGCCAGAGAGTCCGCTTAGGTAACGGATCTTAGAGGAACTTCACTCACTCTGAAGCCTGGAGGTGGAGAACAGAGCAGGGAAGGTACACTTGTACCTCGGAGAGGCTGTTTTCAGAGCATGTTTTCAAATAAATTAGTCAAGATGTTAACAGCCATAACAACAAAAAAAGACAGCAGCAGAGAAAGCAGGAGGGAGAGAGGAGGGGTAGACGTCCGAGAGCGGCCTTCATGAATTCAGTTTTAAAAACAAGGTGAGTTATAATCCTGTCTATTCAGCTGACTGGTGCACCCAAGTTGGCAATTTTAAAATTCTGGACCAGACCTTCCAGAATACATATCACTTCTTAAAGTGCAGACATTTAGGGAATTCCCTGGCAGTCCAGTGGTTAGGACTCTGTGCTTTCACCACCATGGGCCCAGGTTCGATCCCTGGTCAGGGAACTAAGATCCTGCAAGCCGCATGGCACAAGGTAAAATAAAACAAAACAAAACAAATAAAAAACTTACGTGCAGACATTTAAAAAGCCAGACCTTAAAGTTTCAGGCTTTCAAAAAGTCATGCTCATTGCAAACGGGCCATACTATTTACAGTTTATTTACTTGCGGTACCTTATTCGTTTTCATGGGGAAGGAAATATATTCTATTGTAACACTCTAACGTCAGTGTAATTATTAACAAACTGAAAGCTTGAATCAAGACCCTCTGATATACTGTACTTTTGAAAAAACACAAATATACTACACGCACCAAAAATAATTATTACCTATCTTAAAAATGCTTCTACAGACAATCACTTCAAAACCCCATAACACACATGAGCCTAGATCACGCGGCTGATAAGTGGAAAATGCAGACATGCCTGGCACTGAGGGAGGAGAACTGAGTTCTGCTTCCTACTTTCCTGCCTAAACCCTCAGGGAGTTCAGAGCCTCTGTTTTCTCTTTTGTAAGGACAGGTAATTTATACTAGCTCTGCTCACCCCTCAGCAAGGCTGTTGTGGATAGCAGCTGAGATCCTGTCGGTGGGAGCACTTAAATGCCTCTGGTTGCCACTAGCTGGCTGGGCTGGGTGCTCTGGTACGCAAGTCACCAGCACACTCTCTGGAGCCCAGGGTGTTCTCCTGGACTGTCGCTAAGATGCACCCAGTGGCTGAACAGTTTCCCAACCAGCAAAGGAGTCAAGTAAGAGGGGCCAAGGGTGGTCCCACACTGTGACTAGGGGCCTGATCCCGGAGATGCAGACACCTGCGGAGCAAGGGCCGGATCCTGTGTGGGGTAGGACGTGCCTACCCTGGGGGACCCTGCCCTGGGAGACCCCGGCCCTGAGGGACCCCTGCCCTGGGGGACGCTTCTCTCCAGCTGGAAGCCCCTCACCCCTCACCTGCAGTGTCCCAGATGGAGATGTTGTAGGAGCGCCACTGCTTCAGGTAGAAGGCACCGCCCACCGTGCTGACCGTGTCCGGGAAGCGCCGCTCCATGTACCTCTGCAGCAGCGACGTCTTGCCCACGTTCATGTCCCCCAAAAGTACGATCTTCCCGTCGGGCTTCCTCATCTTCCGGCAGGAGGCACCCCTCCCTTTTTCCCGCGCCCTCCGGCCGGTGCGCCCGGAGTGCGGCTAGAGCAGCCGGACGCGCCGAGGCTGCTCAGACCCGGGACTCGTGGAGACTCGGACTCGCGGGAACCCCGAACTTGTACCCTCTCCCCCGGACGCCTGGGAATGCGGAAGAGGAAGCGCGTCTCCGCGCTGGGCTGGAGCCTGGGACCCAGACCGACGGCCACCTCGGGCGCCCAGGCCGCGGCGGTCGGCACCAGGTCCAGGGCGCCCCGGCCCCGCCCCCAGCCCCGCCCCCCAGACGCCCGGCGCCCCGGGCCTCGCCTCGGGCCCCGCCCCCCACGTCCCGCCCGCGCCGCGCGCCGCGCGCCGCGCGCCGCACCTGGACCCCGCCCGCGCAGGTGGACCTGGCTCCTGGGCGGACCCGGGACCTTTCCCCGGGGCGGGCGGTGCTTTCCGCCGCGAAGCGATCGGAAGACTCAGGCAGGTAGGAGCGCCAAGTCGGGCACCAGGTCGGGGCGGCTGGCGGATGGAGAGCGGCGTCCGAGGAGGCGGGTTGGGGGTGGACGCAGCGCAGGGACGCGGGCCCGGGCCTGCTGACCTCAGAGTCCCGCGGGGGATACGCTCCAGCCCGGCCCCCCAGGCTCTCCTCCTCCGTGGGTGCAAGTGTGGCCCCGGGGCCGGGCGCAATGAGTTTTTCTGGAGTGAGGGTCTGCGAGGACCCGTCCTCCGACTGTTAGTGATTAGGACGGAGGGGCGCTTGCTAGTGTTTTTGTTTGGTTTCGTTCACTTTGGCAAGAAGACGATTATGCTGTTTTCTATTTGAGAAGTGGACAGCCAACGCCACTTAAAACTTGGGAGTGAAAATTTGACTTTGGCAGTTGCGATGACGACTAACGAAATCTTTCCATCTTCCTTCTTTCATGGAGTGAACCTCGAAATGCTTCTAACACACTCGGCCTGTGGGACTCGGTACTTATTTGAGACGATGGTGATGCTCTAGTGTGAACACCGGGGGGCGCTGTTTGCCGTGGCCGCGCCGAGTCCTCGGGTTCCCTGCAGAAGTCGGGGGCGGCGCGCTGAGACTCGCGCGGGTGGGGTGAGGGCGTCTCAGCCGAGGAGGACCGGCCTTGCGCAACTCCTGCCTTGCTCCGTGTTTCCTGCCCCGCAAATCGGAGCTCTGCCCACCGTTACTGCCCACCCCCTCCCAAGCTTTTTACAGTACCTCTCCCGCCCCCTTTCCCTCCAAGTCCTTACCCAGCTTTATTTTCTCACCACTCTAATAGAGTTACGCTGCTTATTCTCCGTGCAGTATCCCTCTCTGGAAAGTAAGGGGCATGAGGAAGGGACTGTTTCTGTTTTGCTCCTCACTCGGCCTGGTGAAGAGTCTCCAGCACATAATAGTTGCTCAAGAAAGCTTTGAGTCAGGACACAGTGGATGAATTCACCATCCTGGTGAGGCCAGAAGGGATTTCGGGCAAACGTCACCACCAACCCTGCTCCACACCTCGCTCCTCTGGTAGTTTAAATTTCCCTAGGGAGGGGGACCGTCTTTTAAGCTAATTCTGTATCCCCCAGCTCACTAGACCTTTCTGGGCGGCTCCCTCATTCAGTAAACCTGTGGACGTAAGCCCATGAGGGCGTGGCTTTTTGTGCCTTTCTCTGGTGTCTCCCAAGTGCCTAGAACTGGAACGCAGTCCCCGCTCGATCAGTGTGTGTTTGAATAAACGTGTTGGTTTGCTGAAAGCTGTCCCCACTTGAAACACCGGTGTTTTCTGAGCAGGATTTGAGGGGCAGTGCTGATCGCAGCACCTAGCCCGCCGCCTGGCACGTGACGGAATTCACTCAGCAAGTTTGTTTAAAAAAAATTTTTTTTAATTGTCCAGCACTTTGAAAAACTAAATTTAACCAGGAGAATGTCTCCATATCAAATTTCAACCACTCCTATAAAACGCCTTGAAGACTGATTCCTTTTCAGGAAGTAGGACTGAGGAAGAAGTTAAAAGGTTAAAAGTCTGTTTAAACTAGCCACTCTCATCCCGAGTGCAGTGTTTTTTCTGCCTGCATTTAAACCACTGACCTAACAGGGTAATCCTTTTACCGATTGCTTAGATGAAAGGTGCCCAAGGCCAAGAAAATTATGTAGTTCCTTTTTTTTTTAATTAATTTATTTATTTTTGGTTGCTTTGGGTCTTCATTGCTTCATATCTCTAGTTGTGGCAAGCAGGGCCTACTCTTCGTTGCGGTGCGGTGCGCGGGCTTCTCATTGCAGTGGCTTCTAATGTTGCGGAGCATGGGCTCTAAGGCACGTGGGCTTCAGTAGTTGTGGCTCGTGGGCTCAGTAGTTGTGGCGCGCGGATTGGCAGGCGGATTCTTAACCACTGCACCACCAGGGAAGTCCCTGTAGTTCCTTTTTAAGTAGATGCAAACTGAACAATTCTGGGACTGTCCACAGTTACAATAAAGGAAATAAGCAAATGTGGTCGCTTCTGTTGGATTTTGCAAAGTGGCTTGGGAGTTTTTAGGTACTTTGTTGTGGAACAATTCTATCTTTTAAAGTACTTTCCTCTTAAACAAACAAACAAGCACACCCTGGCTATGTACATGTCTTTGTTCAGCAGATAGGAGTTGAGAAGCTAAGCTCTAAGCCCTGACCTAGGGCTAGAGCAGTAAGAAAGACAGCCAATAAAATAAACAAGCAAAATATGTAGTGTCCTAGACAGTTATTAAATGTTTGATGGAGAAAAACTGAGCAGGGAAGGTGGATAGAGAGCGAGGCCTGGGGATGGATGCAGGGGCTCAGTTTTGAACAGGATGTGTGCAAAGATGAAGTTTCTGGAGCATTAGAATGAGGTCAGGAGTTAAACATGCAGTTATCTGGAAGAGGAAGGGTTCAGGTACAGAGAGCAGTGAGTGCAAAGGCCCTGAGGCAGAAGCCTTCCTGATGGGCTCCATGGGAGTACAGAGCAGGGAACAGAGCAGGTGAGCTGGACACCAGGCCCATGAGGAAGGGGGGCGAGTGGCCAGAGAAGGTCATTGGGACCTGTGGTCGTGACGAGGGCTGTGGCTTGTACTCTGAACCAGGTGGAAGGGTGCCCGAGGGCTCTGAGCAGAGAAGAGACATGATGTGTCCTAACACCTTCCTGCTGTGTCGAGGTGGCCATGGCAGGTGCAGGGACATCAGGGAGAGGTAATGGTGGCTGGGATCAGCATGGCGGCAGAGGAGTGATCAGCGTTGTTTACATTCTGGATGTGTTTTGCGGGTGGAACGTACAGTATTTGGTGTGGATTAGACGTGGAATAAAAAGGGTAGGAGGGGGTGGGAAGGGAGAGGGAAAAGAAGGAGGAGACGGAGGGAGGGAAAGAGAGAGGAGCCAGGAGCTAGCATCTGGACAGGTGGGTACCACATCCATCTTGCTCAGGTCTAGAGGAGCAGCCGTCCATCACTAGAGCGAGGCTTCCCCACCTTAGCACACTGACGTGTTGGACCTGATAATTCAGTTGTGGCAGGTGTCCAATGGATGTTCAGCATTGCCCCCTGGCCTCTACCTACTAGACAGGAGGAGTGACACCATCACGTCCCCCATTGTGACAACCAGTCAATGTCTCCAGGCATTGCCGAGTGTTCCCTGGGCCAAAATTGCCTTCAATTTAGAACTGCTGCTCTAGAATAATACCGATGCACTTTAGGATTCATCATTAAATGTCTTAGAGGGCTTCCCTGGTGGCGTCGTGGTTAAGAATCCTCCTGCCAATGCAGGGGACATGGGTTCGAACCCTGGTCCTGGAAGATCCCACATGCCGCGGAGCAACTAAACCCGTGCGCCACAACTACTGAGCCTGCGCTCTAGAGCCCGTGAGCCACAGCTACTGAAGCCTGCGTGCCACAGCTACTGAAGCCCATGCACCTAGAGCCCGTGCTCCACAACAAGAGAAGCCACTGCAGTGAGAAGCCCGCACACCACAACGAAGAGTAGCCCCCGCTCGCCGCAACTAGAAAAAGCCTGCGCGCAGCAACGAGAGCCCAATACAGCCAAAAATAGTAAAGTAACTAAATTAATTAATTAATTTTTTAAAAAATAAATAAAATAGATGTCTTAGAAGTGAACATCACTCCCTAATTATTTTGAAACATATCTAATGAGATTTTATAAATATTGTGGAAATCTCCTCTTTGTCCCACATAAAATAGTGACTACTATTTATTCGTCACCTACTACGTATTGGGTTCATTACCTATGAATCTCTCAGAGTGTTAGGAACTTTCTCAGAGTCACACAGCTGGCTCTTGGCAGAGGGCATGTGTCTAATCTTGAGGTCTTACCCTGTGCCGTGCCATCTGGGCCATGTCCCCAACATTTACATCCATAAAATACTGATTCCCCTCCCTTTAGTTCACATCTGCAGAACCCACATCTACTTAAGAACAAAAGTGATTCATATAGAAGCTGTTGTCCTCGAAATGGTCCACCAGCGGCTGAAGATGCCCCCCTCAGGGTGGATAGAGCAGGTTGGGCTGTTATGTCCTAACAGTATGTATCCTAATATATATATATATACTCTTTTTCAGATTTTTTTCCATTATAGGTTATTGCAAGATATTGAAAAAAAAAAAAAAAAAAGGAATTCCCTGGCCGTCCAGTGGTTAGGACTTGGTGCTTTCACTGCCGTGGCCCGGGTTCAATCCCTGGTCGGGGAACTAAGACCCCACAAGCCTCGAAGCAAGGCCAGAAAAAAAAATTAAGATATTGAATATAGTTTCCTGTGCTTCAGTAAATTTAAAAAATTATATTTTGTTTATATATATAATTGAAACACTTTGCTGTACATCTTAATCTAACACAACGTTGTAAATCAACTGTATACTTCAATTAAAAAAAAGAGAGAGAAATTAGGCAAAAAAAATCTATTGGTCGTTAGTGGTTTTTCTTTGGTTAGTTGCCTATTTATAACTCGGGTACATTTTTCAGTTAGGGCGCTACTATAGTTTTGACAGTCTTCAAAATTAAAAATTGGGGGTCATATGTGTATTATATGTAAATAAATTTCAAATATATATAAATACAAAACATACGTAATTATAAACATATGTAAATAAGTTTCTATGATATATACATATACAAAGCTTATATGTATATATTTGTTTACATAACTATGTCAACCTTGCTTATGGTGATTTTTTTTAACATGCAAATATTATTTTTTATTTGTAAGTAACCAAATCTACCAACTTCTCTTGCGTAGTTTCTGGCCATTTCAATAACCATCTGATCCACTAGATTTCCTGCTAAAGGCCTGGTGTCAGCTGAGTGAAAGGAAAGAGCATGAGAAGAGCTAGATCTGAAATCCAGATTGGCCACTTTTTAAGTAAGCGACTCTGGGCAAATATTTCCTAATCGTCATGCACTTTGGTTTCCTCATCTATCAAATGTGGACGATACTGTCCCTCTCGGTGTTGTTGTGACATGTGATCCTCTACACAGCGGGTGCACAGTAAATGTCAGGTCCCTCAACCCCTCCTCTGTGGGACCCCCCTCAATTCAACTAGCACCCCGTTGGCCAGCACCACCCACAGTCAACAGGATGAATCAGGCCCTTGGGGACTCCAACCTTACCCCAGCTTGGGCGGGAAATAGTGGGTATTTATCGAGTCTGTTTCACTTTTCATTTTCCAACACCCGCCCCACTCCAGAGTTTCTGCTCTTCTTTCTCTTAGAATTCCCTTCATCCTCTTCCCTTCCCAGAAGTCAAGTTGATGATCTGAGGGCCGGATCCCCAGCTGTGCTCCCAGGGCTGCACCTGCTGGAAGGCTCACACCCCAACATTCCAGGCTTCGGAATCTGGACCCTTGGCAGGACTGCTGGGGGAACCAAACTTACAGAAAGACTGTTAGGCTGAAACATCTACACCCAGATTGTGGGGAGAGGGGTACCTAATGGGGAACATTGAAAAATTCCTTCAAATGCTTGAAAAGAGTAAAACAAGATATCCAAAGCTGTCATGATCATATAACTGCTATACCGGCTGGCAGTTTATATCAACAATCTGCCAGACCACTTCTTAGATTTCAGAAAATATTTCCATCTAATTCAACACTGTCGCTTTCTAACAGCTCATTTTCCACTTATCACAAAGATTATCCTAAAACTGCAAAGCAAATTGAATGGAATTTTATAGAAATGGGAGTCAAATCAAGACAGACTCCCCAAATGGTAGATTACTGACAAAAAGAGAATCTTGTAAAATATAAAGCGTGTGGTGGCAGCCAGTACAGAGGGGAGATCACAGATTCCGTCTTCCGCACCATCTGCCCGGCTTCCGCCCTCTGCATAGACACTGCTATCCCTGCCCTCGATCACACACGCTTCAGGGAAATGTCAGGATGATTCCTGCCCACAAATCACGTGACTGGTCCAGGATCAGCGCTACAGCGTCTTCCTTCATGGTTTCTTCCAAGTCATTCCATTCTTTCTACCTCTCGTCTGCTTGATCCAAATCTGGGTGATCCCATAGGTAGACCCCCAGACTGTGGCTCATCTGTTCTGTCCCAACGCTGGTTGCAGGATCTCTTGGTCTGGGATGCTGGTCTTTACGTTTCTTTTCCCAAACAGACCGCAGTTCCCTTGGGGACAAGAGGCTGACTTCCTTTCCCTGGTGTATAGGTTTGCCCGGGCTGCTGTAACAAGTACCACAGGCTGGGCGGCTTAAACGGCAGACGTTCATCTCGCGATTCTGGAGGCTGGACCTGCGAGATCAAGGTGGGCCTGGCTCTGCGGGGCATCCTGGTGCTGCTGGCAGAAGCCCTGTGCCCGCTGCCCTGTCACTGCCACAGCGTTCCCTGTGGGCCGAAGTCTGGACACAGGGCTGTGCGTCTTCCTCCCTCGTTTCTGTAACAGATCAGCTTGGTCTGTGCTTGCCTCCTGACTGATCTCCAAGTCGGGACCTGGTCCTGGAGGACATGTGCCCCCAGAAGGACTTTGAAGGGGCTTCAGGACAAAGAAAGAAGGGTTGGAGGGCAGCACTGCTGCCAGGCTCCGTCTTCCTCCATCAGGCCTCAGCTTCTGCTTCCCTGGGGCCATGGGCCTGGCTGCAGGTGTGGGTGTGAGTGCAGGTGTGGTGCAGGTGTGCGTGCAGGTGTGGGTGCAGGTGTGAGTGCAGGTGTGGTGCAGGTGTGGATGTGGGTGTGTTAGTGTGAATTCAGCTGTGGGTGTGGGTGCAGGTGTGGCTGAAGGTGTGGGTGTAGGTGCAGGTGTGGTGCAGGTGTGGGTGCAGGTGTGGGTGCGGGTGTGGTACAGGTGTGGGTGCGGGTGTGGTGCAGGTGTGGATGTGGGTGTGTTAGTGTGAAGTCAGCTGTGGGTGTGGGTGTGGGTGCAGGTGTGGCTGAAGGTGTGGGTGTAGGTGCAGGTGTGGTGCAGGCGTGGGTGCGGGTGTGGTACAGGTGTGGGTGTGGTACAGGTGTGGGTGCAGGTGTGGTGCAGGTGTGGGTGCAGGTATGGGTACGGGTGTAAGCTGAGCAACCCCTCTGGTTTCCACCACACCTCCATCTCTGCTCACAGGCGGAGAAGCCCCTTTTCTCTCCGAATGGATGGTTTCACCTGGGCGCTCCTGGACATGGGACGCCTCTTCTGCTTTCCTCTAAGCCTGGGGTCCTTGGTGTCTGGCTGTTCCCTGCGGTCCTAGTCGGGTCTTAGAACCTGGTTACAGGGAGGGTATCCCTTGGGCCAGGCCCCAGGTCTCAAAGCACCAGGCATCTAGACACAGGAACTCTCTGACCCCACCACACACCCACTGACTCAGAAACTCTGGGTGGGCCCAGGTCTGGGGTTTTCTCAAGCCCCCCAGGTGCGTCTGAGCAGCTCAAGCCTGACACCCCTGCTAACACCTGGACTGATCTCACCAGCGACTCCGGCCATGGTCTCTCATCAGCAGACGGGCCACTCCTGCTCTGTTCACAGGCAGGGCAGCGTTTGCTCAGCAGGTCAACATCCCTGCTGACGTTGCCCCAGACCTGGCGATCATCTGTGTTCAGACATTCCTCAGTCCTTTCCTGTAATCTAATATTCGGGTTTAACAGCTCAACTTCCTCTTGCGAAACAACGTGAATTTCCCCAACCAGACAGAACAGGAACTGAAATTAGTTGCTTTTGATTTTTCAGTAACTGATCCGCCTTTTGAACTTTTTTAAACTTTGTACGTGAAAGTCTTCCGAACTGTGCTCATCCGTCCATTGTCACCTCTTCAAGCTCACCGTTTGTCGGCATCTCGGAGGACAGGAGCAGAGAGGGCTTTTCATCCTCTGGGAAAGCATCGCTTTTCCTGGTCTCGTGTGGATACGCCCACTTGGGGATATTTCACTTCCCACCGTGGACGTGACTCACTTTCTCATCCCGGTTGGACACTCAGCTCCATCTTCGGGGATGCCGTGCAGGCTGCTTCCCTCCCGCTCCGTCCTCTCCACGGTCACAGAGCTCCATAGCGCTGAGTCGTGCTGCCTCCTTCAAGGAGCCGGCTCCCCCATGCTCTTCATCACCAGTGACCCATCTAACCGTCACTCAGTCTTCCAACCCATCTTTGGCCTTTGACCCTGTTTCCCACTTCCTTCTTTGTGAAAATCCATCCCGTGGTCTTCTCACCTTCCTGCCTACACAGCCTCCCCGGGACCTACCCTTGATCATGGGGGTTTGCTTTTTTTTAAAAAATTTTGATTGGAGTATAGTTGCTTTACAATGTTTTGTTAGTTTCTGCCGTACAGCAAAGTGGCTCAGTTATACAGGTACATATATCCACTCTTTTTTAGGTTTCCTTCCCATTTAGGTCACCACAGAGCATTGAGTACAGTTCCCTGTGCTGTATAGTCGGTTCTCATTAGTTATATTTTATACATAGTGTCAATAGTGTATATATGTCCATCCCAATCTCACAATCATCCCACACCCCCCTTTCCCCACTTGGTGTCCATAAGTTTGTCCTTTACATCTGTGTCTCTATTTCTGCTTTGCAAATAAGTTCATCTGTACCATTTTTATAGATTCCACATATAAGTGATATTATACGATATTTGTTTTTCTCTTTCTGACTGACTTCACTCTGTATGACAGTCTAGGTCTATCCATATCTCTGCAAATGGCACTATTTCGTTCCTTTTTATGGCTGAGTAATATTCCATTGTACGGGGGTTTGTTTTTTAAATAAATTGGCCATACGTTTAAGTATCCTATAAGTCTTCGTGCCCTGAAACTTCTGTTGCATATAAAGTTACCTAGCTTTCCTTGGAATAGAACTTGGGCTGCACTGTAATCAAACCTAAATCCTGACAAGAGTAGGCATGTAAAAACAGACCTTCTTAAAGACTCTAGAATTTCTGATGGTCTGAAAAATAAAGAAGAAACAATGACTGTATTGGGGCTACAGGAAGATGGCGACGCCCATCTCAGGATTTTAAACCGCTGCTGTAGCTGGACCCTTAGGCAACCATTCAGCCTAATCTCAAGATTTCACAGTTCCTGTAAATTTCTTAGATTGCATCACCATGAGATTTGGAGGCCTTACAGGGAAGAGACAGACAGTCCCACATGTGGACAGAGATGGGGCAGCACACAGCCATCTTCAGGGTCCAACGTGGGGCACGTTGCCAGCCCCAGGACACCCCTTGAAATCTGGACCGCTGAGTCAGTGGTGGGGGCCTGAAAAGTTAACAAGAGGCAGATTAACAGGAGGAAAGAAAGCAAGTTTTATTCACACACATGTGTGTCTGTTCAGATGAAGGGGCTCCCTGAGCCGCTGGCTATAGGGGTTTATATACCAACTTAGTAGGGGAAAGGGAGGGGCAGAAAGGGCTGCTCTGGGGAGACACGTGAGCCTTTACGGGGACACCTGGGAGGTGTGGCAACTGTGATAATGTTTCTTTGTGCAATTTCTCATCCCTGGGTGAGGGGTCAGTCTCCTTCCCCCAAGAGGGAATAAAGTGCTGTCTTTAGCCAGATAAAGGAAGCTCCAAAAAGGCTTCTTTCTGCATCAGCTGTCTCCGGTTGAAATACTCTTCATACCCACTCCGTGAGGCTGAGTGGGTCCCTCCAGGACTAACAGAGACCTTGCTTAGGGTTTGACCAGAAGGACCACTCCTCAGGGGCGTCTGCTCCAGGCTCAATGAGTTGTCTAAATGAGATCTCGGTGCCTCCAGAAGGCCAGAGTTTCAGCGTTTCCCTGTAGAAACAGTCAAAGATTCCTGAGCTCTGTTCTGTAATTTACTTTTCGTTTCCAAGGCTTAACGATACATACTTGCTGTGGACTGAATATTTGTGTCCCCCAAATTCATACGGTGAAATCCTAACCCCATGCATAGTGTTGCTATTAGGAGTTGGGACATTGGGGGGAAGATTGAGTTGTGAGGGTGGAGCCCTCATGAATGAGATTAGTGCCCTTATAAAAGGGACCCCAGAGAACTCCCATCCCTCTTCCCCATGTGAGGACACAGTCCGGCAAATGCAGAAGTGGGCCTCACCAGACACTGAATCTGCCAGCACCTTGATCTTGGACTCCAGCCTCCAGAACTGTGAGACATACACTTCTGTTGTTTATAAGCCATCCAGCCTGTAGCATTCTGTTATAGCTCCCTGAACGGACTAAGATAATATGTTTTTTAGACTACCCATGGGAAATAAATGTGTTTTCATTTCCCAAAGGCTTACTAGAGTTTTGGACTGCAATTGGAACAGATGGGAATCTGAAAACAGTGCTCTCCTCCTGTGAACCCACCAGAGGTAGGAGGGCTGCCCCTACCCCGTTGGCTGTCACCCATCTTTAAAGAAAGGCACTGTGCCACTAAAACTCCGGTTTGAGACTCTCATCATTTATATTCAGTAATTCATCCACAGTGTGGCTCTCAACTATTTTCATACGTTAGCTTATCAGATTTTCGGTCCATCCCCGGGCTGCCGTATTTATCTTGTCTTCTACCCCTCTTATTTGATTTAATTCTCTATTTGTCTGGCTCTAACTGACCATCGGTAACTGTATATTAGAAGACAGAACGAGAAAATCTTTTTCCAGGCACTAATCTTTTAGAACCATATCTGAGAGTCAGTGAGGAGAGAGGCTCAGATCTGCATTCCAATTGCTTTTTATTCTTTCCATGAGCAAGTTCTTTTTATTGCACCACTGGACAAACATTTCCGTAAGAGATCCAGTTATAATGATTAAGGAACTAATTCTAACTTCAAGCTACTTGAATAAATATTAACATGGGTCTCAAATAATTTAGGGAAACTGTAAAGAACTATTTATAACCTGAAGCTAATTTTTAAAAATAACTTACCACCGGACTGAGTCTTAGGTTTTAAGAAGTGGGCAAACATAGTGGGGTTCTACTTAATTTTTATTGTCTTGTTTGTGTTTTCCTGTATTTTTCATATTTTCTATAATGAATACACATTACTTTTGAGAAGAGAAAAAGCAGATCTAAACTTAAACTTAAATTTGAACCTGGGAAAATGGGATGGACGTTTATGGGAAGGACCAAACGAACAACTTAAAATTCATTGTTTACTTTTAACTGCGGTTATATTTCCTTGCACCGTTCAGAGTATTTACTGGCTTTGGGAGTGGGGGTGGAGGAAAAGTATGGTTAGTGAAGTGTGTTTAAACTGCCATATTGCAGTGCTAATATTCTGAAGTGTCACTGTTCTTAGGACTTTGCTCAGCACTTATACAACAATTCTTAACAACTACTGCTTGATGAGGGTGAAAATATTAAAAATGTAGGTTGAAGCATATGAAATCGCTGGTGTTTGAGCTTTTGTGAGCTACTTTGGTAAATTCACGGTACATTTCTTGAGTGCACAATTGGAGAAGTTTGACAAATGTGTTCAGCGGTGGGACCGTCACCACAATCCAGATACTGAACATGTCCGTCGCCCCAAACCCTCCTTGTGTCCTTGTCACCCTCCTGCCCCGCCCTCCACTGCATAGATAGCCCACCATTTGTTCTCCATTCACCTGTCGGGTATTTGGGTAGTTTCCACTCTGCTACTACAATAGAGCTGCCGTGACCGTCCATACACGTCTTGGTGTGGACATGTGCTTTCATTTATCTTGGGTAAAAGCCTGGAAATTGAATGGATCATACGGTAGGTACATGTTTAACTTTTTTAAAAAATGCCAAACTGCTTTCCCAAGTGCTTCTTGCAATTATGTTCCCAGTGGCAGTGGTTGAGAGCTCTAATTTCTTCGGTCTTTTAAATTGTGCCCATTCTCGTGGGTACACAGGGGAACCGCACTCTGGTTTCGGTTCGTATTTCCCTGCAGATGTTGAGCATATTTTCGTGGGTGTTATTGCTGTCTGTAGATCTTCCTTGATGAAATGACGATTCAGGACTTCCCTGGTGGCTCAGTGGTTGAGAATCCGCCTGCCAATACAAGGGACATGGGTTCGATACCTGGCCCGGGAAGATCTCACATGCCGCGGAGCAACTCAGCCCATGAGCCACAACTACTGAGCCCGCGTGCCTAGAGCCCCTGCTCCGCAACAAGAGAAGCCACCGCAGTGAGAAGCCCGCGCACCGCAACGAAGAGTAGCCCCTGCTCGCCACCACTAGAAAAAGCCCACACGCACAGCAACGAAGACCCAGCGCAGAGAAAAATAAATAAATAAACGCATTAAAAAAGAAATAAGAAAAAAAAGAAATGACTATTCAGATTTTTGCACAGGTAGTAGTAGTTTTTAAAAGCCCCGCAGATGATTGTAACGTGGGGAGATGGTTGAGAGTCACCGAGAGCAGCCCAAGCTCCACAAACACTAATTCCCGTGGCAGCTTCTTGCGCCCTCTTCTGGCAATGGGGGGTAGTACCCTCCCTTACCCAGGTTCAAGGAGAGGGTGAATCCTTCCAGAGCCCTGAGGACCCTTCTGGAGCCAACCTCAGCACGAATCTTGTAGGGGATGTCGAAGTGGAGAAGGATGGCCGTCTCCTCCCTTCCTCACACACGCCTCCGTCGGTTAAGAAGGAAACTATAGGCCTAAAAAGGAATCAATCGTGTTAGGCCCCAAGGCAGTAGATCAAGACTTAATACCTAACCCAAATAGTTTCAGCTTTTCCTGGAATGTGATGTTTAACCGACCAACCTGGCATTTCCTGGTCAGCACTAGGGGGTAATCTGACTGATAGACCCACTCCAATCCCCCCCACCCCACCCCAGAAGGGTGACCTCACCTCCAACAATGCATTCTTTGTTAATAATCCTCCCTCCCCCACTCCCTGCCACCTTAAAAACCCTTTCCTTTCCTGCAGCTCAATGAAGCTACTTTCTACTTGCTAGATGGGCTGCTGCTGGGTTCATGAATCGTTCAATAAAGCCAGTTCGATCTTTTAAATTACTCATTCACTTTTTGTTGTCTAACACGATAAAGTTACAAAAGTGATACATGTGGTTTTTTGTTTGGTTGGTTTTGGGTTTTGGCCACGCCCTGTGGCATGTGGGATATTAGTTCCCCCACCAGGGATCGAACCCGTGTCCCCTGCAGCAAAAGCTTGGAGTCTTAACCACTGGACCATCAGGGAAGTCCCTAGATGCAGTGTTGTGTTTTGTTTTGTTTTGCTTTTTACATCAAATGCAAAGTGTAAATGTAACACTACCTTGATACTTGCCCTGTCCATGCTCATCCGGAAGGGGTATTGCTGTAAACGGTTGAGGGAAATTTTTTTTTTTAATTAAAAGAAAATCAGTTGAGAGAAATTTTAATGAAGAAAGTATGGACTTCCATCTTTATTCTCTCTTTCAATTAATATGTGACCATGGGGAAGGCTCTGGGTATACTTAATGCATAATTTCCTCATCTGGAAATGAAGTTATTGCCTACTCTCCTTTTCTCATGGGGTTTTATGACAATTAAATGATGTGTGTGAAATGGAACATTTACAAAAATGTATCTGTACTAAGTCTTGATGGAAATATCAACAATTGTCAAAGAATTTAAATTATTCTTACCACAGCCTTCAAATAAAACACAAGTTGAAAACAAACAATAAAAAGAGAGTTTGAAAACCTAAATGTTTGTAGCTTAGAATGAAACACTCATGAATTATGGAAGAAAGTATAGTGGGGAATCACAAAATATTTAGAACTGAACGTCAGTGGGCAGTTTATTAAAGCTTGTGTGATGCAGCAAAGGCCATACTTAGAGGCAAATTTATATCCTTCAATGCATTTATTAAAAAGAAGAAACATTTAAGAGAACTAACTTAAGAGTTTGTTTTGGGACTTCCCTGCTGGTCCAGCGGTTAAGACTCTGGGCTTCCAATGCAGGGGGTGCAGGTTCAATCCCGGGGAACTAAGATCCCATATGCTTCATGGCATGGCCAAAGAGGGGGGAAAAAAAAGAGGTTTCTTTTTAAAAGTTGAAAAAGGAACAGAAAGTAATTTTTTTTAATCACAAGATAATTAAAAATAGCAAAAATTAATAAAAGTATAACCAAAGTAGCAATAGAAAGGGTGAATAAAACTGAAATCCAGCTTAAAAAAAAGATTATTAATACTTCAAACTCTAGTAAGACTGACAAAGAAGAAAGAATCACAAATAAACTAGATATAGGATGAAAGGGTGATATGGCTACAGACTAAATTTAAAATAATAAGAATACTATACATGTTTTATACTAATATTTTGGAAGCTTGGATGAATAAATGATTTTCTGTAAAAACTGCTAAAGTTGACTGAATAAAAAATGGAAACTATAAATAAATTAATAATTAAAAAAATTAAGCCAGTAGTCAAAAGTCACCCTCAATCAAAAGATACCAAGCTTGGCCTCAGAAAGACAGATAACTCGTATTTCATATAGACTATATGAAAAAGTAGAAAAAGAGGGGAAATTACCCAAATCAGTTTGTGAGGCTGGTATAGGCTTGAATACAGAGTACAAGGAATGTGAACTATTGACCAATATCACTTGTGACTATAGGTGTAAACTCATAAATAAAGTATCAGCAAAGGAAATTCAGCAATGTATAAAAACACTAATGCACCATGACAAGGTAGTTTAGCCCAGGATTACAATATGTTGTGAATCAGAAGATGTATTGTTGTAATCCACTGCAATAATAGAATAAAGGACAAAAAACATATGATCACTTTAACAGTTACAGAAATATTGTCTGATAAAAGTCAATAATCATTTGTGATTTTTTTTTAAAAAGTCTTAACAAACGTGGAATCAAAGGGATTTTCCTTACCCTGAAGAAAAAGGTATTTTTCAGAAGCAAACATCACACTTCCTATTTTAACTTTAAAAGCATTTCCATTCAAGTAAAAGTAAGGCAAGGTCATTTGTTATAACCCCTATGATTCTTCAAGGGCATCCTGGCAAATACAGCAAGAAAAAAAGAAAACTAAGAGTTAACAGAAACTGGAAAGGAAGATGCAAATCTTGTTATTATCTGGAGATGATATAATTGCATATGTAGAAAATCTGAGATAATTGACAGAGAAATAATGGTTTTGTTGGAAGTAGTATCTATGCTACAAAAAAGTCAATAGCATGTTATCATCAACCATAAATATTTATAAAATGGAATAGAAAAAGATGCCATTATTCATACATCAAAAGTTACCAAAAATAAATATAATACAGGATATATGAGACTTGTATGGAGAAAAGTATAATCATTGTTGAAAGACATTTTCAAAGATACAAATAAATGGAGAGTCATGTTATGACTTATGCATGAAATAAAGCTGAAAATGATGAAGGTGTCTACTCTCCTCAAATTAATTTTTTTTGAATTTTATTCTTTATGCAGCAGGTTCTTATTAGTTATCTATTTCATACATATTAGTGTATACATGTCAATCCCAATCTCCCAATTCATCCCACCACCACCACCACCACCACTTTCCCCCCTTGGTGTCCATACGTTTGTTCTCTACATCTGTGTCTCTATTTCTGCCCTGCAAACTGGTTCATCTGTACCATTTTTCTAGGTTCCACATATATGCATTAATATACGATATTTGTTTTTCTCTTTCTGACTTACTTCACTCTGTATGACAGTTTCTAGATCCATCCACGTCTCTACAAATAATCCAATTTCATTCCTTTTTATGACTGAGTAATATTCCACTGGATACATGTACCACATCTTCTTTATCCATTCTTCCGTCAATGGGTATTTAGGTTGCTTCCATGACCTGGTTACTGTAAACAGTGTTGCATTGGACATTGGGGTTCATGTGTCTTTTTGAATTATGGTTTTCTCTGGGTATATGCCCAGTAGTGAGATTGCTGGGTCATATGGTAATTCTATTTTTAGTTTTTTAAGGAACCTCCATACTGTTCTCCATAGTGGCTGTATCAATTTACATTCCCACCAACAGTGCAAGAGGGTTCCCTTTTCTCCACACACTCCCCTCTCCAGCATTTGTTTTTTGTAGATTTTCTGATGATGCCCATTTGAACTGGTGTGAGGTGACACCTCATTGTAGTTTTGATTTGCATTTCTCTAATAATTAGTGATGTTGAGAAGCTTTTCATGTGCTTCTTGGCCATCTGTATGTCTTCTTTGGAGAAATGTCTATTTAGGTCTTCTGCCCATTTTGGGATTGGGTTGTTTCTTTTTTTTAATATTGAGCTGCATAAACTGTTTATATATTTTGGAGATTAATCCTTTGTCCATTGATTCGTTTGCAAATATTTTCTCCCATTCTGAGGGTTGCCTTTTCATCTTGTTTATGGTCTCCTTTGTGGTACAAAAGCTTTGAAGTTTCATTAGGTCCCATTTGTTTATTTTTGTTTTTATTTCCATTACTCTAGGAGGTGGATCAAAAAAGATCTTGCTGTAATTTACGTCAAAGACTGTTTTTCCTATGTTTTCCTCTAAGAGTTTCATAGTGTCTGGTCTTACATTTAGGTCTCTAATCCATTGTGAGTTTATTTTTGTGTATGGTGTTAGGAAGTGTTCTAATTTCATTCTTTTACATGTAGCTGTCCAGTTGTCCCAGCAACACTCACTGAAGAGACTGTCTTTTCTCTATAGTATATCACTGCCTCCTCTGCAATAGATTACTTGACCATAGGTGCATGGGTTTATCTCTCGGCTTTCTATTCTGTTCCACTGCTCTATATTTCTGTTTTTGTGCCAGTACCATACTGTTTTGATTACTGTAGTATAGTCTGAAGTCAGGGAGTCTGATTCCGCCAGCTCCGTTTTTTTTCCCTCAAGACTGTTTTGGCTATTCGGGGTCTTTTGTGTCTCCGTACAAATTTTAAGATTTTTTGTTCTAGTTCTGTAAAAAATGCCACTGGTAATTTTATAGGGATTGCATTGAATCTGTAGATTGCTTTGGGTAGTATAGCCATTTTCACAATATTGATTCTTCCAATCCAAGAACATGGTATATCCCTCCATCTGTTTGTGTCATCTGTGATTTCTTTCATCAGTGTCTTATAGTTTTCTGAGTACAGGTCTTT